TCTGATACATAATGAATATATTTAGAAATAATTAAGAAACCAAAGAGTAAACAATGAGTATTTATTTTGAAAATAATTTTATTGAAAAAAGTAAAAACTTGTTTTCTTTTATATATATTGCAGACAATGTTCGATTGGAATTGGCTTTGGGTTGTTGGGGAATTGGGTGCATCATATGGGTTTTATCGATGGTGGAAATCCAATGATACATTCGTGGCTGTTCTTGAGGTAGAAATATAAAGATTAAAGAGTTTTTCTTAGAAGAATAACTTCGATATATATAAAGTATCACATTCAATTGTTTCAATAGTGTATTAAATATAAACTTCGGCATCTGTTATTAAGAACAACTAAATCATGACAAATATTATCTGATAAAATGAAAAGAAAATTTATTTAATTTTAGGTAGCACCTGATATAGATATAGATACATTAAAAAAGTTTTCATCATCAACAAGTACAATTGATCTTGCATCAGTACATGGTCTTGTACAAGTAAATGATTCTAAACCAAATTCAATATTAAAATCACAATTTATATCAGATTCTACGGGTGTCATTCATCGTTTAACAATACGTGAACAAAGATTTGAAAAAGCTCGTAATGTTTGGTAAAAAAAAATCTATTTTGTTGCATTTTTCCTTTACTTTTATTTATTAAAGGGTTGAAACAAAAAATTTAATTAGTGATAAAACACGTTATGTACCATTTCGTCTCGTTTCACCAAAAGGAAATTCCATTCGTATTGACAAACCATTAGAATTCAATTCAGTACAAGATCAATTAGAACTAATTCATGTTAAATTTGATCCAAATGTATCGTCATCCGTAGAAAAACTTATTAATACAGCTATTGGAAATGTATCAAAAGGCATTGAAACACAAGAACATATGCTATTAATTGATATTCCGTTGACTGGTATTGGACGTTTAGAAAGACGATCTGGTAATTGGTATTTGATTCCACATGAACAATGGGGTGGAATATTATCACGATCAACTCGAAATGAAATTTTATCTCGATATCGAAAACATTCAAATATTATTCGAGTCGTTAGTATATTGTTTGGCATTGCTGCTAGTTGTACAGCTGCTTATTTAATCTATCAATATTATTTAAAACGACAACGACAAACAAATACTTTACCAAGAACTGCACCAGTTATTCATCGAAATGAAGACACCAATGAGAATACTCGTTTACAATGTGTTATTTGTCTAGACAATGAAACTACTTATAGTTTACAACCATGTTCACATTTAGGTTTATGCCATACATGTGTTCAACAATTAAAAAATCAAACACAACAATTATGTCCAATTTGTCGAACACCTATTCAATTCTATCAGCGTATATTTTTACCATAGAGAATTTTGTCTTTTTTTATATCCTTTTGTATTTGTATAACATTTACATTTGTTTGTTTTTTTTATTTTTTTCTACTAAGTAAACATATGAAATAGTCTAAACCTTTATTTAGTAGTGATTTTGTTGTGAATAATATACGCGAAGAGAAATTTTGTTTGTTACTTTTTTCATATCAAAAGAAATTTTTATTGAAATGATTTTTTCTTTATATATTTGTTTATTTTTATATAGGAATATAGTATGATCAATTCATCATGTGTTTTCTTACAAGAATGATCGAAACATTTTATTATGACTATTAGTTTCTCTCCCAGAATTTTATATCTAGGTCATAAATACATGACTGATTACTCTACTTATCTTAAGTGGAAACCGATTGAGAAAATTGCCTAAGTTTCATATACAATATTGAGGATCTTAACTAGTAGTTTATAATTTTTTGAGCAGAAACTGGCGAGAGAAATATATTATTTACGAAGTAATTAAATATAGAACAATATATTTATAATATTATCGGCAATCTCTTACCCTCTTGAGTCGAAACAATTTGAAATAGAGGAAGTAATTGATCATATATAAATAATTGAAAGGAAAAATAAAGTGTTCCGCAGATTTTTAGTAAGAGAATAGAGCTTATACTTGTTTACTCTTTACCGTTCTTTTTACTATATTTTCTTATCAATAAATAATTTTTCTAGAGATATAATAATGATTTCTCGGCATTTATCGTTACTTACACATCGTTTACCTTATAATTCAATATTCTATCGTCGATTTCTAACGTAAATTATTAATATTTATTGTTATTGAATATTTTTTTTCTTCTAGTGAAGTTAATTTAGTTAAAAATCTTTCTTCACCATCGAATAATTATGATGCATTAGTTATTGTTGCTACTGAATTAGATCAAATTAAAGAACACGTTGATAGTTCAGTAATACAAGATCTACAAGCATTTAATCAAGTTAGAATTTTTAATAAATATCTTTTTCTTTAATATTTGAGTTTTATTTTAGTTAAATAAAAAATTCGATAAAGAAATTACATTAACAATTAATAATACTGTTCCAGGCAAACGACTTGTAAATTATTCATTTTTACATATGATAAACTCGAATTCTTTATTTAGATCTATTCACCAACAGGTAAAATAAATCGAGATTATGATGATGTACGTCGTTTTACGGAAGCAGCATCAGCTGGTATGAAAAAAGCGTTATCACTTGGTGCTAAATCTCCATTAATTGCAACTTTTGGTTCAAAATTATATAAACAATCAAGTTTAGTTGCTTTACTATCTGCACTTGAAACAACTTATGTGGTACAGAAAAAAAGGAATTATTTTTTTATACTGAAATTTAAATCTATTCTATAGCCATTACAAGTTCGAGAAGATAAACCTGAACGTAAGACTAAAGTCGATCGATTAGGTGTTTATATTGGTGACACATCATCTGCTAGTGATTCTCATGAGAAATTAATAAAGTATGCTCGAGCTATTGAATTAGGACGTGTTGTGGGTAGAGATATAGGTGGATCAGATCCTGAACGTATGGCACCACCACGTGTTGCTGATTATGTTCAAGATTTATTTGCTCAATCATCTGGTATTAAAGTAAGAAGAGATTTTGTTTTGAGCACGAATATTGAAACAAAAAAAGTTCTTCTAGATTAGTATAATAAAAGATCAAACTGAAATTGAAAAGAAATTTCCTTTATTTTCTGCTGTTAATCGAGCTGCCAATCGTAAGTAATATAAAGATATTAAAAATTAAAAATAATTACAAATATTGCATAGATATTGAACGTCATCAGGGTCGATTAATATTTCTTGAATATACAGGTGAGGGTGAAATTAATTCAACTGCATTACTTGTTGGTAAAGGTGTTACTTATGATACTGGTGGTCTTGATATAAAAAGTATATAATATAATCATTCGTTTTTTTTCTATTTTAATTTCTATTTGTTTATTTATAGCTGGCGGTAATATGGTAAAATAAATGTATTTTTTAGTTATCGAAAATTTTATTATAATTAATATCTTTATAGACAAGCATGTCGTATGATAAATGTGGTGCTGCTAATGTAGCTGGTTTTTTTAAAGTTCTTTCTGAATTAAAACCTAAACAATTCAAAGCAATTGGTGTTCTAGCTGTTGCACGTAATAGTTGTGGTGAAGATGGTTATGTAACAGATGAAATTTTAAAAGCAAGAACTGGTGTTCGTATTCGTATTGGAAATACAGATGCTGAAGGTATTAAAAATCTAGTTTTTAATTTTGTGTTCATTGAGATTTAGATATTATTGTGGAATTTAGGGCGACTAGTTATGGCTGATTCATTATGCTATATGAAAGAATTAGCATTAAAAGAAATTAATCCACAATTATTTACTATAGCAACATTAACTGGACATGCTGCTCGTACATATGGAGATAATTATACCGTTAGAAATAGATAGTTTTATTGAAAAGAAAGATGAATTTATGTTTTATTTTTTTTTGAAGGTAGTCATGGATAATGGACCAGCACGAAAGAATGGAATAGCTCAACAACTTCAATCGGCAGGAGAAGAAATTGGTGATCTATTTGAAGTTTCAACTGTTCGGCGAGAAGTATGTTTAATATTTCGCATTCTTTCGGTTTTCTAAATCCAAATATTACTATGTAGGACTATGATTTTGTTAATGATAAAAGTGAAGTAGCTGATGTATTACAATGTAAAAAAGATGCAGGTAATGCAGGAGCTCGCGGTCATCAATATCCAGCTGCATTTCTTGCTCGAGCATCTGGTCTCGATAAACATGGTTGTGATTCCGAGAAACCATTGAGTTATACACATTTGGATATTGCTGGTAGTGCTGGTAAATTACCAAATTCACCAACTGCTCGTCCAATACCAGCTTTATGTCATATGCTTATTGCTGATCGTGTTTTGTAATTTTTTCTATCTATTTTTGTTGTAGTTTAATTTTTAGAAAATATACAAGAAACTATTTAATAACAAAGATTTACATAAACTATTTTTATCTTTTATATTCAAATTAAGTTATAAGTGAATTATATATTATATGTACCGATCTTTTGCTTTGTATAAAAATGAATATAAATCGTAAAGATATAAAAATGAAAAATAAAAGCAACATCGAGATTTAGTACAAGAGACAATTGATGTTTGCTTATGAATATGGTTCTGTTTTACTATAATTAAAATGATCTATAATATTTTTGATATTATAACTATAAGGATTAATCTTAACTTCATCAATAGATCAATGATATTAAAGACTGATAATCTGTGCTTGACTTCTCTCTATCATAACTTTATTTTAACCTGTCAAACTTCTTATCCAATAAGCAACAAGTGCTACAATCATCTAGAGATAAAATAACAGTGCAAGTAGCGAATCATTTCTAAGTTAGTTTTCCACTGCTACAACAATGCATTTATCGTTTTTTCTCTCATTCCTTCAGGAAGCAAACAGAAATACGAGTGCTTCATCTCTTTATTCTCGTTCTTTCTTTTTTCATATATAGATTGCAATCAATCTCGCGCTCAGTCATTCACATTTCTATATATATTATTTTTATTAAAAACAAAAATACGAGAAAAACACAAGGATAAGTCATGACTGAATATAAGCTCGTCGTCGTCGGTGGTAAATTAGCTTGTTTTTAATTTAAATTAGACTATATATATATGCATGTTGTTTTCTTCTTTTTTTTTATGACACCAGCTGGCGGCGTGGGCAAAAGTGCATTGACAATTCAACTTATTCAAAATCAGTAAGTTGCAAAATAAATTTATTGTTTGTTCAAATATTTTTTCTTGAATTTTTAGTTTCATTGATGAATATGATCCAACAATTGGTATAAAAATAATTTGTTATTTTTTTAAATTAAATATATCTATATATAAATAGAGGATTCATATCGAAAGCAAGCTGTTGTTGATGGTGAAACTTGTCTACTTGATATTCTGGTATATATATATCTAATAATTATTAATATTATTTTAATACTTTTTTTTCTGTTCTTATTAGGATACTGCTGGACAAGAGGAATATAGGTTTGTATAATGAATATTATGATAATATAAATTCTGATATTGTCTTATTTTTAGTGCCATGCGTGATCAGTATATGCGTGGTGGTGAAGGATTTTTATGCGTGTTTGCAGTTAACAGTGCGAAATCTTTCGAAGAAATAAAACAATATCGTGAACAGATAAAACGTGTTAAAGATGCTGATGATATACCAATGGTTTGTAAGTATAAAAATATGAATTCATTTAATAAAACTTTTATAATTTTAATTTATTTAGTGGTAGGAAATAAAATTGATTTACCAACGCGTACTATTGATTTATCATGTGCAAAAGATTTTGCTGCATCCTTATCAATGCCATTTGTTCAAACATCAGCTAAAACACGACAAGGTGTAGAAGATGCATTCTATACTCTCGTACGAGAAATTCGAAAATATGTAAGTTAGAATTATTTATTATTTGTAGATTTTTACTCTTGTTTTTCTTTTATGTAGAAGGAACGTACACGCAAAGATCGAAAAGGTCGTAAAAATAAAAATTCTAATAGTGGAACAAATAATAATGGAAATAAATCTTCATCAAAAGATGCTCGCAGTCAAAATGTAAAACAACGTACGGGAAAACGAGGTTGTATACTAATGTAAAATCTAGTCATAACTACAGAGAAACAAAAAAAAATAATGATCGTTTTTGCTTTTATGTTCCCTTTCCTTCTCCTAATGTCAGATATTGGTTGTATGTTATTTCTGAGAAACAAACTTTTCTTTTTTTTTAGTTTGTATGTGGTGTGTTGTGGTTATTTTATTTTTTAATTTCTAGTCAAAAAAAAATACTATGTCATGTTTTATCTTCAGAAAGCCAAATATCTCCTCGCTCTCTCTCTCTCTCTTTTTTGTTGTGATGTGATATACACACAACGAGATTCTTCTTTGTTCTAATCTTTATGCTTTTTTCGTTTGTTTTTTAATTTTATTTATTGTGTGTGCAGTAGTTTTGGCAATCAGAAGAATAATTTTTTTGTTCCTTTCTATACAATGAAATATCTATATATATATGATCGGGTTTTCAGATTTGATTTCTTCAGATGTACATACGACCAACACGAACACAAACTTTATCACCTTCTAATCTTGAATTAGAAGAGAAAAAAGATGTCCCATATTCAAATGACAAACAGAAGAAAAAACAAGTAAGAAAAACGTTTATTTTAGTCAAAGAAGAATTTCGATTGTGTATTCTTCTTTTTTCTTTGCTTTATATATATCCTGTAATTCCTATGAGAATTAAAATTTTATTATTCTTTTTTTCTCTTTTAGCGCTTCAAGAGTCCCATGAGGTAAGACGACTAAAATCATCATCAGATAATTGAAGAAAAAGAAAAAAAAA